CTCTACCTATGAGGCCACTGGGCCATCACAATCATAATTAAGTATAGTATAAAACCACACTATGTACAAGATGGAATCCAAATTTTTCGAACCTCCAAGGAAAATGAAAATTGGTTCAAAAAATCAGATAGTTTGAGAAATCGGGGGTAAAATTACAGCGTTTGACTAAGGTGAGGAAACAACGTTTGGTTCAAGTTATCGGGAGGTTCAAAAACCTGAGGGTTTGAGAAATTGGGATTCACTGTAGTAATATTTTAACAATATTTTCAGAGATGAAAGTCCTGTCTGGCAAGTTAGTTGGGCACATCCTGTGTTTGGAAATCTCTTGGCTTCATGTTCTTATGATAGGAAGGTGAGTGTATTTAATAAGCCATCAGACAAATCCAGCATTGTAATTGTTTGAGTCCTGCAAATATCAGGGATTTCTGTACACAAACGTAATTGCAAGCATCATGTTGAATTCTTTGAACTATTTTAGTTGGCTTTGCCACATGTCCAGTAATTAATAAATAGTAAGGATTTAGATGCTAAAATTTATTACTTTGTGTGTTGAAAATAAATTTTAAGGCAATTTTTTCATTCATAATAATATCAAAACTAATACTGTTGTCATTTGCAAGAGGAACAAAGGAAAATTGTTGGCAAACTTAGAATGTTAAACATGAAGCATCACACAAAAGTATGGTAAATGTCATGCACTTCACCGATGCACCACATACACTTTGTATGTGAACATGTACTGTGATTGTCATAAACCATGTTATCTCATTCAGGTTATTATTTGGAAAGAAACTAGCAATGGATGGGCAAAACTTCAGGAATTTTGTAATCACGATTCTTCAGGTAAACAAAATAGATTCAGTCAGTTAGTCAGTCAGAGAATCAGGTAGTCAGTCAGTCAGTCAGTCAGTCATACAGACAGTCAGTCCTAGCGACAGACGGACAGACAGACAGACAGACAGACCTACAATGTTGACAACACTTCCAAAAATACAAGAGGTTCCGTCAAGTTCAACAGTAATGTTGTTTAATATTATTGTAAGTTGTCAACAGCTTTTGATCACACTTTTATAGAATAAACACATTATAAGTAAGTAAAGTAAGTAAGTAAGTAATTCTTTATTTAACATGACCACTCGCTTAGCTAAAAAGCTTCTTTACAGGAAACCCACGCAAAATGTCAAATGGTTATAAAAAACAATTGAAGTATTTTTTCTTTACGTGGTTTGATTTGATCTTGTTTCAGTGAACGCTATATGCTGGGCTTCTCCAGACTACGGCTTGATGTTAGCTTGTGGTTCATCAGATGGCTCTATCTCAATTTTAAGTAGTTCAGGTTTGTGTTTTGTTATTTTCTTCAAGAGTGGAATCTTTTGTTCCAGATTCCAAATTCTTATAGGCCATGTTGTTTTCATTTTCAGGTGATGGAACGTGGGAAACAAAGGAAATAAATAACGCACATACGGTAAGTTTGATAATGTTTAAAATGTCACTGATTCTGCCATGAAGAGTAGAACAAACATTCTCACACACTGAATGACATTTGTCTGCCACACAAGGCAACAGCACTTTATTAACAAACAACAAAACCGAAAACAGCATTTACAAGGACTAATGGTGTGAAATATGCAACATCAAAGCCTAAGCCTGTAGGCAAAAAACAGAACATCAACAATACTTAGAATGTATCAGATGAGCGCAGACTGGCAAAGGAAGGGTGGGCGGGAAAAGCTGTTGCTTGTATGGCAAGAAACAAAAAATTGAGTCACAAGACCTAGCATGACACTTGATATCCTAACTCAAGCCCAGCCCCCGCTTCAGTGTGTGAGAACCTAATTTCTCACCTCTTTTGCAAGCTCAGACGGTGAGAAATCCATGTTCATCTCTTTTTAACACTCATTGCTCAGTTTGTCTTGATCTGCTCACTGTTATTAGCTGTCAGGATGTAGCAGATGAGTAAGAGTTAGTCTTGCTTCTGTTCACATGCATGGTCTAAATTTGTGATCTTGCGTGTTGTAATGATCAAGTACATAATTATTAATAAGCCTGTTCCAAATTAAAGTTTCTTTACATGTGGGGTGCATTTACATTAGTAACAGTTGTCATAATAAACTTGTATAATTACATTAAAATTATTTTGTACTGCAGAGAAAAATACAATGTGAGTAGGAGCTTAAGGTAACTGAGTTAAGATAGTAAGGTTCAGGTACATTTTGGATGAATCTAGATTAGTCAATGACTGGTTCTAGAACAGAGATGGTTGCAAGCACTGGTAGACCTCTTTGGTGACTAAACCTGCCAGATACAGGTGCTGTACATTGTTGAGATTGGCCTGTTAAAATCATGGTCAGAGCCATTCTGGCTATCAAAAAATATTAAATATTAAAAATATGATTTCTACTTCTTGTGTACCATTTTTCTGTCAGGTAAATGTTCCTTCAGATCTGATCACTCATTTCTTATTATGATTGTTCTTTTATTTTTCTTGTTTAGATTGGTTGTAATGCTGTTAGCTGGGCACCTTCNTTCCAAATTCTTATAGGCCATGTTGTTTTCATTTTCAGGTGATGGAACGTGGGAAACAAAGAAAATAAATAACGCACATACGGTAAGTTTGATAATGTTTAAAATGTCACTGATTCTGCCGTGAAGAGTAGAACAAACATTCTCACACACTGAATGCCATTTGTCTGCCACACAAGGCAACAGCACTTTATTAACAAAGAACAAACCTGAAAACAGCATTTACGAGGACTAATGGATGCAAAAGATTGCTTAGATGCCTAAGTCTGTAGGCAAAAAACAGAATGTCAACAATACCTAGAATGTATCAGACAAGCGCAGACTGGCAAAGGAAGGGTGGGCAGGAAAAGCTGTTGCTCGTATGGCAAGAAACAAAAAACTGAGTCACGAGACCTAGCATGACACACAATATCCTAGCTCGGGCCCAGCCCCCGCTTCAGTGTGTGAGAACCTAATTTCTCACCTCTTTTGCAAGCTCAGCCGGTGAGAAATCCATGTCCATCTCTTTTTAACACTCGCTGCTCAGTTTGTCTTGATCTGCTCACTGTTATTAGCTGTCAGGATGTAGCAGATGAGTAAGAGTTAGTCTTGGTTCTGTTCACATGCAAAGTCTAAATTTATGATCTTGTGTGTTGTAATGATCAAGTACATTTTTGTTAATAAGCCTGTTCCAAATTAAAGTTTCTTTACATGTGGGGTGCATACATTAGTAACAGTTGTCATAAGAAGCTTGTATAATTACATTTGTACCACAAAGAAAAGTACAGTGTGAGTGGGAGCTTAAGGTACATATAACTGAGTTAAGATAGCAAGGTTCAGGTACATTTTGGATGAATCTAGATTAGTTTATGGCAGGTTCTAGAACAGAGATGGTTGCAAGCACTGGTAGCCCTCTTTGGTATCTGAACATGTTAAAAACAGGTGCTGTAGATCATTAAGACTGGCCACTTAAAATTACAGTCAAGGTCATTCTAGCCATCCAAAAGTGTTAAATATTAAATATATGATTTCTACTCCTTGTGTACCACTTTTCTGTCAGGTAAATGTCCCTTCAGATCTGATAACTCGTTTCTTATTATGATTGTTCTTTTATTTTTCTTGTTTAGATTGGTTGTAATGCTGTTAGCTGGGCACCTTCAGTCTCACCAGGATCATTACTAGAGGTAATGAAAATGACAGGAGAATTCCTTAACTCCTGTTACTACAGCCCTACAGCCCAATAATTATTCTTCACTAGGAGTAATGGACAATGTGGAACAAACCTTTTTATTCATGTTCCATTTATTTAATTATCAATTTATTACCCATTAATTACTTGAGGTATAGAGTACATGTATATAGTATAGATTCAGGGCTGGACAAAAAATTGCTGACCGGTAGCAACTGTCTGGTGCAAGCAGATTTTCCTGCTCGGCAAGTAATGTTTCATTCTCACTTGCACAATGGGCAAAGGCCAAGGCAGGTTGTCTTTCAACTAAGTAAAAGAAAGGTAAACTAAGACTTCCCATGGCAAGCAAAATTTAAGAGCTGCTTGTCTGAAGGCAAGCTGGAATTCAAGTTTTTTTCTAGCCCTGATAGAGTAGAGGATTGCTGTCCACATACTCGTATTTAGTTTCTATGTCACAGTAAGGTTGTTCATACATGTACACCAAAAGTGTGCAGCAATATTTTGTCAATCTGCAATATTAATTATCCTTTCCAGCCATAATGCAACTTCTACCTCTGAACACTAATGTGCTAGGGCTGATCTACACAGCAAGACTTTTGCTTGCATGTTACATGCTTAAGACATTCCTGCCGCACAAAATTGTTCTTCTTAATCAAACCTACCGCTTACAAACACAATAGTTCCATGTAGCTGTAAAGACTCCCCTAGCTCAAGCTATGTACAGTTTCTCTTTTGTAAATAGTTTTAAATGCCTACTCTCAAGACCACACCTCGGTATTCAAGGTATTGCTGCTATTGTATGATTTTGATTGACAGTGAAAACATGTCCTGACTGAAAAATTCTCTAACCTAAACAACAGCTGTTGTTGCAGTTCTCAATGGTTGACATATGTCATTCTGCCCCATATTACACACAAATTGTTGACCTTTTTGCCTTGCTTGTGTACATTCTTAAAGAGGAATATATTAGTGTAGGTTCAACTGAAATTATTAATAACAGCTGCTGTTTGTTGATGTTTTTTAGCCTGGATCAAAGTCAGGTGTTTTAGTGAAAAGATTCGTCACTGGAGGATGTGATAACTTGGTAAAAGTATGGAAGTAAGTCACAATTAGTATCATTTTTCTGATCAGTGTGACTTTTGATTGTCTTTAAGTGAGTGTCCACTGTGTGCTAATCCATTTTGTTTGTGTAATATTTAAAGAGAGGTTGATGGACAGTGGGTGGAGGAAGAGGAACTAGAAGCACACAGCGACTGGGTTAGGGATGTTGCCTGGGCCCATAATGTTGGTCTTCCTGTCAGCACCCTAGCAACCTGCTCTCAGGTAATGCAGTCATGAGTTAGGTAATAGATAGAGGGGTTCTCAATAACTTTTGTCGTAAATCCAAACAAAACCAACAACAATGGCTAATCACATCTAACAAACCTACTAAGCAGCACAATCAATGAATGACACCTCAAAGCAAGTTAAGACATCATAATCACTAAACAGGGAAAATTGTGCACGACCAAGGTGCAATTTGTTTTCATTAATTGCATCTGACTGGTTCAGTAGGGGGTGGAACTCTAAAATCAATCACAAAGCATTATTTATGCAAAAACAAAGCAATTACCAATTACTTTCAAAATTTGGTTAACTGATCCTGAAATTGTTAAACAACAAAGTGAAAAAGTTCATTGTATCTTTATAATTCCAATGTTCCAACATGTTCACTTCTCTGGTTGGCGCTGGTATAGGGAATTTATTACTTTTAATGCTGAGCATCGTCATAAGATTCGTGCTATTTGTTGCTATACTTATGGCATTTCCAAATTATTTATTTATATATCTATTTTTGTGCAGGATTGTCGTGTAGTAATCTGGACAAAAAATGAAGTTGGAGGAGGATCATGGACTTCAAAGGTAATTAAAACAAAAATGTGTTTCTGAGAAGCACGTTGATGATCTCTGGAGATTACAATTCTTGTTGAATCCCTTTTCTTGGAGGTAACCACGTGTTGTTGTAACACATTTGCAGGTTTTAAAAAAGTTTGGTGATGTTGTGTGGCATGTGAGTTGGTCAGTAACTGGAAACATTTTAGCTGTATCTGGTGGAGACAACAAGGTAAA